GGTTTTTGTGGTCTTTAATAAACAAACTTAAATTCAAATCTTTTTTTAGAAAAGTATTTGTATTTATAAAAAGTACACTTGGTGCTGCATGTTCCTTGGTTCCTCGGAACCAAGGAACATGCAGCAGGAATATGACTGCAACAGAATAGGAAAAAACATGAGATAACGCACGTTGGTTACTATAATAATGTAGAAATATTTGCAATTGATTTTGACTTCTACACTCAATGTATTACGGTTGAAAATCGAGTGGAGAAATTTGACTTATTTTAGCAATTATCAAATACAATATTTATTTTAAAATCTCAAAAATAGGTACCGTAATCTGTGTTTTACATTTCGTTAACCATTTTGTAGATCTCTGAATGTACAGTCAACAGCACGCCAAGTTATACCAATTTGTTAAATTTCTGCACTTCATAATAAATGTTAAAGCTTTGAATGTAGAGTTTAAAATCGACTGCGAAAATTTAACAAATTGTTTAAGCCTTACATACAATTGTGTGTAGGGAATGCTCGGCCTTTTTAGCGAGATTGATCTCGATCGAAAAATGGGGGAGATCTTGCGACTTTAACGAGATTACACTGGAGCATAAAAAGATTTATTCTGAGTGCGGCAGCGCGAATTTATGCGAGTCCGGGGGAGGGGGGTTAAAAGGCGAAGTTTTACACTTTTACAGTACTTGTGTTATCGAAAGACGAATAGCAAAGATTCTTTGGACATTTTGTGCTTCTTAAGAAGCTACTTTCAAAATTATATGTAATAGTGACGTGTGAAATGAACTGAATAAGCCTTTTGATTTTCAATTGATTGGTATATCTTGTTAATTTATTCTCTTATTTCTAATACATCTCTGGGTACACATAGTTTTCTTTCATTGATAATAATCTCAGTTTAATAGTCAATTCAACTTAGTTAATAAGTTTAATTTAAGTTTTTATATTTTTGTTATAAAAGACTGTGTATTATAATAAAACTTTTGTATGATATTAGCAGAGAAGACTGGTTGTTCATTTCATTTTGTATTTGATTAGAAACGTCTATGTTTAGTTTCTTAAAATATTAGTAACTGGATGACTAAGCTTTACTCGGAACTTTTATAAAATAAAATATACCTAACTAAGTCGATTTATCGCCCCTGAAATACCCTGCACACTTAATGTCATGAAAATTGCTCTTTTAAAGTTTTTAGAAAAAATATATAATTGCGTCAAACTATGTCAAATACCTACATTAAACTTTATTGATAATACCCGTAAAAATAAATGATTTTATCATAATACCTATACTTTTTTTCCTAATTTATTCAAATATTCTGATTTGAATAAATATTGCAGTAACACAGTAAACACACAAAAGTGCTAATCTCGCGAGATCTCACCCAAGTCCCAATCTCGCGAGATTGCATTCCCTTGTCGTGTACGTAAGTAGATACGCATTATAATTATCATGAATTCCAGCCAGACACGTCAGTTCAAATTTAATGAAGAAATCTTATTTCTGTTTCTGGACGTCATCACTCCGAGATTTATGGATACGTCATATCGTATTTCTATTGCCCTCGTTAACTGTGCCCTTGGAGCAAGCAGAGCTGGTCATGTCTTCTTATTGTTTAAATGACAAACACACTACACTCTTTTTACTTCTCGCATGTTACTATTTAGGATGACCAAATGCTCCTGTGTCGCTCTTATTATAAGAAAATTCTGTATTCTATATTTGAACCAAAAACATAAGCGCTAAAATTTATTTTTAATAACCTAAAACAGATATAAGAAAATATCGAATTATTTGAATAAGGGCGAGGGTAGCATTATAATGTGGTCATGAAAAAGAAAAAGAAAAGTGATTGAAAGTTTCGCCTGTCCTTTAAGGTTCTGGGTAGCTCAGTGGTTAGAGGAGTCGCCCGGATTGCGTAAGGTCGTAGGTACCAGTTCCATTTAGTTCTAATATAGCATTGTGAATGTAAAATTGATCGAATATAACTAGTCAAATATAATAAATTTAACTAATTTTAAGTTCCTATTTTAGTTTGATAGCAAAGGTACATGCCTAAGCGTTTAGTTTTTACATTATTAAATATTTTAGGCGCGATGTGACATGTACAAATAAATAATTAAACTGCTCTCTATTGTATTACCAATTGATCGCAGGATTATGAAGATAAGTAAACATAATTATTATCTAAAAAAATATTATAAAGATGAGAGATTATTTGCATAGAATAGGCTCCGAAACTACAAGACTGAGTTAAATATTTTTTTCACTTGCGGGTAGCTACTAAGCTTCCAATCCCGCAATACCGAGATCTCGGTATCCCGCATCTTTTTATTTGCGGGATTGGTAAGAAGCATGTATGTGCAAGCGAAAAAAGTCAACTTTTGTTTAGAGACAATACGGTATTACGCTTATGTCATCGTCTTTCCTGACACCACACTACGGAGTATTTATCTTCAAATTCTGATTACATAATCATAGTCATAGACTAGGCTTGATAGAAATGCTTGTGGACTAGAAAAAAGCAAAAAAAAAAATCTAGTCCACAAACGCCAAGCATAGTTGCAGTTTGTACTTCTCGATCTTTTTGGATTATTTGGCGTGCAGTATGTATGTGGACTATGATGCTAAAGCCCTTACGGAAACCGTCTTGCTCGGGAAGCTGGAGGTCGTCAAACCTATTTCAAAATGGTTCGTGATGACTCCTGAAAAAAATCGTAAACAGGCGATACAAGCCTGAAAAATATCAAGTTGCTTTTGACACTTTTTTTCAATAAGAACAATACTTGTGTGTCGAGTCAGATGCTGGAATATCCTCTGGAATTTAAGCACAGGCCTCTTGAAGGATTTTAAGCACAAGCGTTCCACCGAAATTCAGAAGCTTAGCTATGATTCCATCCTAACCCGATGCCTTGTTGTTCTTAACTCATGTCCGGGATATCTTCGATATGGTCGCGGGTCAATTTGGCTAATTGACTCTTAGGACTTTGGCCACTCTAGTAACAGGAGCCCATGTTGACGTGTATAATTATCCATAAAAATTCCCATCTTCACTCAAAAGTTCGGGCTTGGATGGTACACGATACTGGTATCATGCGTTTCTAGCTAAGTCAGCTAACTCTAAGTAAAAAACACACAACCGCCGTGACTGAGTGACCCTTATGCAGGTTCCAAGATGTCACAACTTTTCTATTACATTATCTGGGAATTGGATGTTGTGATATAATCCTTGCTTCAGATTTCCACAATATTAGAGCTTGAGCTACTCAATTTTGAAGAATTTGTCAGTCCTGTTAGGTTAGCTCAGTAATTAGAGCGGCCGCCCGAATTGCGAAAGGTTCGAGCCTGTCTTTATCATATAAAGAGTCGGTTTTCACCAAATTTAAAATATTAGGTCATTATATATGAAATTGGTGTTGGGTATGGGAGGAACAAAATTTGAATATTTTTTAATATAATTTATTTATTTAATTAAAGTATAAACCATTGTTATCTATGCACTTTTGCCATCTCATAGGTAGTTTATTGATCCCCTTACTAAAAAAACCATTCGGACGATAATCTATAAAATCTTTGAAGGCGATTTGCACTGCCCGATCGGAGTTAAATTTTTTTCCTTGCAATAAGTTATCAAAATTTCTAAAAAAAGGTAATCTGTTGGAGCAAGGTCCGGGGAGTACGGTGGATGTCTTAATTGTGCTGTGTGTGGTCTATCGTTGTCGTGAAGTAGCAGTGGCGAAGAGCGATTGACCAGCCTCGGTTATTCAACAGCTAGTTTTTCCAGTATGGTTTGCAATTGCTGACAATAGACGTCTGCCGTAATCGTATGGCCAGATTTTAGAAAACTGTAATGTTCGACGCCGGCAATAGTCCACCAAATGCTTACAAGTACCTTTTTTAGATTCAATTTTCGCTTGGGGCAAGATTTGGCTGGCATGCCAGGGTCCAACCATTGCGTTGAGCGCTTCCTATTATCGTAGAGAATCCACTTTTCAGCACAGGTAATGATTCGATTAAAAAACCCTTTTGTGCCGGTTAAGTAATGTAATTATTATTAAAAGAATATTATTTCTTTTGACACAGATTATCTTTTATATGTTTAAAAACCTTATTGCCTTCTGTTCTTTTTAAGAAGCCCTGACGTAGTTGAACACATATAACTTAAACAAAAGTTTATGACTTTAGTGAAGGAAAATAAAGAACTATTTTTTTTACATATTTGTTCTGGCTGTATGATTTAGTGTCATTGCCTGTTTGGTCATGACCGACGCAGATTTAGGGTATGTTCCGATATACACTGCGCGCACTGCGCAGTGGTCTTACTGCTGAAAAATCCGTTCCGTTATGGACTGCCAGTCTCCCATTATACACTGTAGTCTTTGACTGCCAGTACACTGCTACAGTACCCTAGGGAAATTTATGACGTCATAAATTGCCGCCATATTTGTACTGTGAGCACTGGAGATTTCGAGGTAAGATGCTCGCAGTGCTTTTGATCACGTGATCAGTCGAAACAGAATCAGAAAATGATAAGTTTCTAAATAAACAAAAAAAAAACACTTACGTTTATTATAAGATGGATAAATAATTTTTTTATACAATTTTCCAATTTTATAATATATTCTTTTGAAAAGAGGGAATCTTTATATTTATATTCACCTTGCATTAACAAATTTGAAAATGGCGCCAAAAAATAGGATTAACAGTATACTGGACTGCGTTCCGTTTTAAAAAGTCACCAGTATAACTAGCTATAAAGGAACGGGCTTCCAGTATACTAAATTGACGTCATACTGTTCAGTGGTCGCAGTGTATATCGGAACATACCCTTAATGAGGTCACCGGACCGGTTACATCAAATTGACAGACAACCAAAGCGAAAATTAATACAACTATCAAATAAACGTCCTCTACTCAAGATTTGGTAGTATGGCTTAATTCCTTCGCCTGTCCCATGGACTAAACCAAGATTAACTACAACTACTACAAATAAACGTCAATCAGCTCAGCTTTTACGACATATCACACACGACACGAAAAGAGTTCATTTTACAATAAACCTGCTTTAAAGTGGTCCTAATTAAAAATTTAAAGGTATGTAACAATTTGAATTTCCGGTTTTATATATTTATGAAACTTCTATCTTCATTCCAAATGCATAAAGACTGAGATAGTCTAAATAAGCAAGTTGCTTTTTTAAATACGTTTTATTTTGCGACTGTGCGTAATATTTATGATTTGAAGGGTAATCTGTGTTGATATTCATCATAAAGTGGTAAGTTTTATATTTAGGTAACAGAACAGAACTTGACTGATGATGATTGACTGATGACACAACAGAATTTTTTAAAATACCAAAGATTTTAAATAGTTTGGTACGAACTTAATAAACTAAACAGAATTATGTTTTTACTTAACTGATTACAAACATTCTATTATTGTTTATATTACTGTTATTGAAGGTATATTTTATTTTAATGATCCAATGTGCTAAATTTGTCAAACTATGTTTTGTATGCACATGTTTGTTCACATGTTACCTCCTCATTTATTCCTCAAATGTGATCAAATAGTTGTAATTTCTTGTCTGTTACATCATTGACATTAGATTATGGCTCATGTTTGTGCGGAATGATTTTGTCCCTGTCACCCTAAATTTAAAAACAGAAACATCTCTAATGCCTGTTTTCACTAGAACAAGGCATATCTTAACTAGAAATTGCTAAATTTTTGTTTCACCAAACCTGTAATGTTAGGTAATGCCTAAGTACTTGCTTAGTTAGACATTGTTTGTCTATAATTTTGGATGCTTCAGTTCCTCTTCTTTTTTAAATGTATGCCATATTTTACTTTACATAATTTCGCCAATGGCAAAAAAAAAATTTAAGATAATAAAACAAGAAAAAGTATATATGTGGTCTTGTATTTACATGAACACCCAAGTTGCCATTGTCCACTTATAAAAAGTCAGAAAATTCAAAAAATCCTATCGTTTATATCTTAATTCTTATATATAAAATCCTTGATTCCAACTAGCTAATTGATTTAATCCCTGGACACATCTGTTATGGCTCAAGAGGAAATGTATTTTAACTTTGGCAATGCCTATATAGGTATTTAGTTGTCAAATTTAGGCGACTCTTAAGTTTTATGAAAACAGGTATAATTCTAATTATGTAGAAATACAAATTTCTTTGATTAAAAAAAAAATAATTTTTAAAAATGAAAAAATGCTTTTGTTCCGTAATTCCCATAAAATATGTTTTTATTAAAAAAAATAAAATTAATGAAATTTACAGAACTTTTATTTTATTAAGACTAATACAAAAAATAAAAAGTTTATTGACAGTTTTAATAAATCAATCTTGTTTTTAAGTCAAAATTTATAGACAGTTTTATTTATTTCTTTTCCTTTATATACTCGTACTTAGAATTTGTGAAGAAGTGCAATATGGTCGTTAGGCGACTCTCACAATGGCCAGTCGTAGGATGGGTGACCAAAAATTTAATATTTTCCTCCTCTATATTTCGGAAGGCACGTTGTGTTGGTCCCAGCTGCATCTGCAGTCATTAATGCCCACCAGTGCATACTGTTTAATGATAAATACAGGAAGTTAAATAATATATTGTATTGCTTTAAATAACTTTTAATATCATAATATTTCTTGCATAATAATTAATGTAATGCTAATAAGTAATTATTGACTTTTAGTTTCAATAATTTTATATCGTTGTAGATAAAATAAAATGACGGAACGGGAACCCATAAGCGGTTCCGGCCGTGATTACGGCGCTACGGCGGCGCCTCCACCTGTCGCCTTCGCTGACTTCAGCCCGACGGAACTTTACAATTTGACAGAAGGCATAGCCGATAACATAAACTCTATCAACTCAGGATTACTCTCATTGGAGAAGACGATGAAACAAATCGGAGGACCCAATGATAATTTGCAGTTCCGAGAAAAAGTGTAAGTAAGTTTTGATAACTTTCGATAATATAAATATTAAATACAACTCGGAAGAATTTAGAATTCGGATTAGCCTTATGACAGGTTTTATAGCTTTTTTCTCTAAACAAAAGCTAATAAATAAAACTAAATAATAGAAACACGAATATAGGATAGGTGAACGAACAGAATCTACGTGCCAGGTTTTCTATTTTATCGGTTTTTCTATTATACTTCTTCTGACCGCCGTCCCGCTCTATATTTCAAATATAATTTAGATAACATCACAGTGCCTAAAGACCTTATAATATGGTTACAACCCAAGACAATAAAGGTAGACATTAAGAGGCACCCAGACTAACACTGGTACGCTTTAGTCGAGGGACGTAATTGTGACCGACTAGCCAAGAAGTGTGGTGGTGCGCAGGCACGGCTGCCAGCAGGCCGTGAACGCGCGCGTGGCGGCGACGACGCGTTCGCTGGCGCGCCTCAGTGCCGGCGCGCGCCGCGGCCACAAGCCGCACCGCCTGCAGGTGGAGCGCCTCGCGCAGGCCCTCGCCGACGCGCTGGACAAGTACGCCGCCGTGCAGAAGGTATACGCTGCATCGACCTTCCCGGGCCGATACAGTGTTGAGCTCCTCGAAAGGATCTCGGATTATCGTCGCCTACTATTCGTTGACCACACGCGGCGGCCCGGTGGTCGAATGTCGCCCTACAAAAATTTCTTCAGACAATAAATAAGCAGGAACCGAGGAGAGCATTTACTACTTCGCTTGGGGAACGTTAGGGTTATTTTACCAATAATCGGTGCATGTATATATAATGAATGAAATGAAAAACTGAACAATTAAAAGGCTAAATGGCCATCGGTTAGGACGATCACGCGGGCCCAGTACGGATACTGGGGTACTGGGGTTAAAATTTAACCTGTTCACTGGATATGATGAAATATTTCGTCATACATAAAAGCCTACTGCAATGGGTATGACGACATTTTTCGTCATGGAAATTAATCGTTATATATTGAACGCATTACGTTGTACGTTTTTCTTATCTAATAAATCTTAAAGTTGTTATTTATATGCCATCATATTGTCAATGCATTTTCTCATAGAAATTGTCGAAAAAGGTGTCGAAAAATACGAAAATGTGTCGCAGTCGCCACCTACTAATAAGGGACACCAAAACTTTGGACACCAAGGCTTTGACACCAAAACCATCCAAACTAATTGAAAGACGTTTTGCGGATTATATACCATCCGAAAATTTAAGAGTAAACGTAACCAGGAGATGCAAAGTGGGTTATTCCAAAGGTATTAGGAGAGAATCGAGATTCTAGTGTACTGACTGCTGTGTTGCCTTGCGTATGCCACACTGTTTCAAGCAATATCATCATCATCACCAGCCCTTTTACGTTCCCACTGCAGGGGCTCAGGTCTTCCTTATAGATGGTCGAGGAGGATGTACCAAGACCTTCCATGCTGGCCCAATGCGGATCGGAGGGTATTAACTACTGCAAACGTAACCGGGACCAACGGCTTATCCATAAAATTAATTCATTTAGGAGAATACAATTTTATGGGTGTTTATATGAGCACTTATATCGTGTCAAACTACTCTTATCTACATTTTGGACCTTGGCTGGACGTGTGCAACGTTTTATTCTTCATTCCGTTAGGTTCGCGTTATTTTCGGAAAAAGCTAAGGTAGGCTCGGATCGCGAAAGGTCTTGGATTCGAGTCCCATCTCACTGCCTGGGGCGAGTGAATATTTTAAGCATTTTTCATTTTAGAAAATGTTTCTTTTATAGCAAAATTGATCAACACATAGCGTTTGTCACTCGTGTTAATTATAACGTTTGGCTGCAGCAAGTATCGGCGAAGATGGCGGCGCACATGCCGCGCGCGCCCCGCCCCTGCCCCTCGCCCCCCTCCCCCTCCGCCTCCCCCCCGGCGCAGCGGCAGGCGCTGGCCGACGAGGAGGAGGCCGCGCTGCTGCACAACCAGCAGGCACAGGTGCGCTACCATCTGTCGGGTAGCCATATCGCGGCCTAAGAGCCGGAGGGGCTTTTTTTGTATCGCCGACTTTTTCTAATTTTTAATCGACCTTTTTAAATTGACCGACGGTCATGTTCATGTCTCCCGGAAAGTAACGGTGTCGCTCGTCCGCCCCCGGAGCTCGAAGCCGCGGTATGTATTTTCGATATATCGACGCCCAAACATATCGATTCTTTTCGTTATCGAGAATTACCGACGCATCGAAAACTAATATCGAACGAAGTTCGAATAGAAGGGTGAACGTACACAAAGTTGTCGGGTCATTATCATAGGCCGCATTTGACATCTATCCATCTGAACTCGACGGTGAGCTATAAATTTTTAGATTAATTTAACGAATCGGTATGCTTTTTTGAGAAATGTGAATCGAATGGGTTTATTTTGAAAAATAGTATCGATTTTATGATTTAAGTATATCACTTCGGGGATCGATTATTGACATTTGCACTGTTTCGACGCCGAAGAAATTAACGGAAAATAAATGAAAAACGCCCAAATATTTTTTTTTTTTTATAAGCAATATTTAAACGTATATTATTTAAACGTTATAAAAAGTAGAAAATGATCCGGTAGATCGATTGAAAAATTAAAGTCGCCTCGCTGTCGAGTTTAAATCGATAGATGTTAAATGTGTTTCTAATGTTCTATAACGAGAGGTCGTTCAAATTCGGACACGTCCGGTGTCCGAATTTGAACGACCTCTCGTTATCGACGTCGACGTCGGGGGGCGTCCGCCGCTCCGCATCGCGGTACCGCGTCACTTAGAGTCGGAAACTGCTCGAACAGGCGCGCCTGGTGCAGTTCGAGACCAGCATGATGCTGGAGCGCGAGGCCTACATGAGCAAGATCGAGGCCGACGTGCTGGACGTGGGGCAGGTCATGGGCGAGCTGGCGCGTCTGCTGCAGGCGCAGGGGCAGCACGTGGGTGAGTGGCGGTAGTGGTGGGCGAGTGTAGTGCAGCACTAGTGGTGTACACGTGTACATGTGCCCGGTGTGTGCAGACTCGGTGGCGGAGCACGTGGAGGCGGCGGGCGCGCGCGTGGAGGCGGGCGCGGAGGAACTGGCGGCAGCGGCGGCCCACCAGCGCCGCTACCGGCGGAAGGTGCTCATACTCACCATCGTAGGCCTCGTGCTCGCCGTCGTCTTCGTCGTGTGGGTAGTTCGAGCCTTCAGGTAGACTGCGCCCGGTCGGACCGTGGAATACCCGACGCGTGAGTGAGTTGTTCCTGTTATATACGACGCATGGTCCTGGGTAGTCTGGTGATTTATCGAATTCCGAAGTGATACCTAGAATTTTGTCGCAGAATCGTCTCGGCGATCGCTGCGAAAATTGCACGCTGTTCCGAATTCACATAATACGGGTACGAGTTGCCGTTTTCGTGCAGCAGAAAATTAGGAACGCCGCATACTTAAAACGCGGCGGCGGATGTGAGAATCCTTGGCCTTTCTGAAAAAAACTCAAAGCGTTAATTTGAAAAATGCTTTTTAGGAGAACGTTTCGATCATCATTATGGTAATATTATTAAAAATTTGTCGGTGCCGAAACTGGTACACCTTCCTTGTTTTACATTAAAAAATAATTTAATTGTGGTAACATGGAAGTAAATAGATAAACGATTTTCTTACATTTGCAGAGTAGATGATTAATTATATAATAGGGAACACAATATTTAAAAATACAATATTTTGTTCTTTATTACATAGCCTACTAAAATTTCTTCTATATTAATCGATTAGTGTTCTAACCGATCAATCGGTGTATAAAATCGATAAAATTGATCTTGTACATTTAATTGTCATTTTCGGTACACAGGTCGAGTTATCATAAAATATCAATTTTTTACAAATTGCGAAACATCATAATATACTCTATCCAAGAATTGACCTTAAGGTGGGTTATCGTGATTTAATTCCGTGTGACCGTCAACAGATGGCGTTAAGGTTTAAATTTTATTATTTATTTTTTATTAATGAATATATCTATAATCGTTTATAATTATTCGCTATTCGTTATGTTCTGAAAACGATATATCTAAAAAAATATTTTTATACGTTTCCAAAGACGTACATGTCTAAACGAGAATTTAGACTCGTAATTTCCAAAGTAGTTTTGATGGAGAACTGTAGATAGAAGTTTAATATTCACATTATGACGAGTTTTAGAAATATTTAAACTAAAGCAGCGGCCTACAAGACATAGAAAGTTTGGGAACCTCTGATTTAGATAAATAAACGTACTTGAGCGTGACGTTCCACTTTAAACCGGTAATTTGGAATGTAAATTATGAAATTTTGCTCATGAAATTAAAAGAACATAATAAAGCTAATGAAGTCTGTGATTAGGTAAGATGTTATTTAATTATTTATCATAATCATAATCAATCGGAACAATATGACTCGATATTGTTACGTTTTGTTGAGCAATGTACGATGATATACTATAATAAATAGTACTTTTTACTCAAAGTATTAGTGAATACATACTTACATATTATGAAATATTTACAAATGGTCGTCATTCATTCAAATGCTTCAACATCAGACCGATGCACGTTCACGGTACAATATAATCCGCACATCCTCCGCGCGTTATCCACTCGCGGCTCCACTCCATATCCACACAACGTTTACTAATATTTATGGTTAGCGTTACCAACAGTTTCTGCGGCGATGCCATTAGCATGACTATTCAAGACTGACCCTCGATATTGTTCGTTAGAATTTTAGATAATCTTTTATTTTAAAGTAAATAGAATGCTTCGAGACGCTGCGGGCAACCTTAAGAGCGATAACCTAGTCTTCTACTTAATTTCATACAATGAAACCTATTAAAAATTTACTATTATCCTAAAAATTACTTTTATCCTATGCCTATGCTTCACGTAAACCACTAGTTTCACCCTGTAAAACGTATTTTGTACAGCTTACTATTTTTTATTAACCTAGTTGTGTGATAAAGCTATACCGGTCTGGTGCCGTAGCGATTAATGACATACGACCCATATACATATGTGTATAAAGCCTTATATAGATTGTAACAAGTTTACCTATTTATTAACTTAGGTAGAATTTTATATCTTCTAATGAAGCATAATAATAGCTAACGTTAAGTTTACAACATTATTTATTTTAGTATTTTTTTTATTCTATTTTTATCACGTGTCATCATAATATCACATTCCAAAAATGTTATTGCTAAAATCTTTATAATTTGTGTAATCTCAATTCTGTTAACACTTATTCGAGCTATATTGATGAAACAACTTTGAAACGGTTTCATTCAGTTTGTATTTTTCTTCTCGACGTTTTGGACCATTTACAGGTTCCGTTTTCACATCGGTCAATGTTAATAAAAGAAGAATACAAATGAAATGAAACCGGTTAAAAAGTTGTTTCATTTATTAATTCAATCTTCATAATTATAATCAGTATTCAGACAGTTATTCTTTTCTTATAAATAAAATATGTGAATGATCTATTTGTGTTTTAATTATTCTAATGTCCTTTTAATATTGCATGAGGTAATGAGCAGATGCATAAACAATAAATATATCCATGTGTCATTCTCATGGCTGTGTCATGTCCGGATCTATATGTAGTATAATAGGATACTGGGTGGTTTCATTTGTTTGTATTTTGTGCCATTTTGGTAAAGGTAAAACGATTAGCAATGTAAATAAAAATGCTTGCATCATTGCAAAAATCCTTTTATTACGAACCTAACATTATAAGGTACATAATAAAAACATATAATAATTTACACGCGCACATGGCGCTAAACAAAATCGACAGAACAATTACGACGTCGTATAACATAAACGAATCATATGACAGTTAATGCAGGGTTAACTAAAACAAAATTTTCTACAATCGATTTGGGGCATTAATAAATTCGACATTCAAAATAAATTTAACATTTTCTGCTAAGTTATCTGAAGTTTAACGGTGTCTTCCGTTTTGTTACACGACATGAACAACATAATAATAATAAATAAAATATGATCTACAACTTTGAAGACAAATGGGCAAATTTAGAGTGATTCATTCCCATTCACACCTTACAAAGTAGGCCTTCAATACACGATTAATGGAGGAACATACTACTGACTTTACAATACGAACGAAAATATGTAAGAGATCGTTTCCAGCTGAACAGGGTTGCCAGACTAAAATTATCCACTAATTGCTAATTATTAACAATTTTCATAGGAAAAAAAAATATCGAGTGTTTTAAATTCTGTATTGAATAAGGCAACCCTATAAAAATATATATAGACTTGATAGCGTGACGTTATTAACGATATATATATCACAATTTATTATGTCTTTAGGTATGTAGCTCAAACAAATGATGCACCTGATAGTCGCTACAAGTGTACCAAGACTGCACTTTATAATACAGAGATTTTGGTCTACGAATTAATTTAAAAAAAAATATAATCATTATTGTAATTGATATAACTTATTGCTTTGTAAATTAAAAGTTACATACCACCATCGTCCATACGAGTTCCGAAACACGCAAACAAGATAATTTACAATAAAAAATAATAGTAAATTATCGAACGTGTGGTAACGAGAGCAATTTTGATTTTTGTCTTACAGTCTAACGGGGTTATTGTCACCGTTTATTATAAAAACTAGAAATTATGAAATTAGGAACGAAACACTAGTAACCTTACTGAGCACAATCGATCATGCCACGTTTGTTTAACAAGAAAATGGCGACTCGGTGTTGCCTTTATGTCTAAGATAGAAAACTAGCAATATCGATTATGTGATATGGTATTGAATAGACACAATTTTGAGTAACAATAATCCAATATACTTAATAGTTTCATATGAAATGTAAGATCTACATGATAATATCACCAGAGGTCGGAATTAGGTAGAGTTATTTATGTACTTGCATCGAAATGGTGATAATAATGTGGACCTTCCCGGGATTTCTTTATTTCTTTCTTTCATTGATGTAAGTTTGGCAACGTCGTGCGTGCAGAAGTTTAAATTGTGTAAGAGTAAATAACTTTTTATTTAAAAAAATCACAGGATTTTTTCTGCTCTTTAAAATAAATCTTGGGATTTGAGGCATATCCACTTTATTCTTTCGCTGTATGAAATCAGTGTAAGTACATGAATAACTCTACCTAATTCCGACCACTGAATATCACTTATCCAAAAGAACAATGACAACATAAAAAGTCAACAATTACTTCCGGATATCATAAGTACAGTAAGATACAACTGATGTGGCGCAATAGGCTAAATTTCGAAGCGCGCCAAATGGCGGCTAATCAAAACAATTCAAGTATCACGCCAGTGATCCACCAATATCTACGCGCCTGATCGCCAAGTCTGAACGAGACTTACATCTGACAACAATACTGTAAATATTAATAGTACGATAAATCATCTTTTGAATTTTTGTACATCTGCTTTGCGCAATCAAAAATTAACCATGCGTCATATTACTTGGAACTTACTGTACCGGTTGCGAGCGTGTTATTCAAGTGTTAATAACAAAATTGTGCACCCTAAATAGTATAATTATTATTTTTCTCAGAAAGAAATACGATTTCTTTCAGTTGCCATAGAAAAATTTAGTTTATAAACTTTCGTATCAAAAATATGATATTCACTTAAAAAATAAATTATTAAGTAATTGTTTAGTTGGATAAGCGATATGTCTGTCATTTTCACGATTAACTTTGGGTTTGCCTGATATTAAAGATACAGCCAGACCTCCAGTTGTCTCACGGTGAGAAAGAGAGAGAACGTATGTACCCTGTTCTCAATATTCACGCGCGCGTAGTAAAGCGTTATTAGCACACAAATGGAATATAGCAGAACCATTCGACGGTCTGTTTATAACTGTGCTTTACTGTGCATGCGTCAATAGAGAGACAGATAAGGTATCACGATCTCTTTCTCACAAGGTTACGTTCTATACTTTATTTATAATATTCAACGATTGTGTCCAATCACTACATATAGAGTACATTGAACATACAATTTACAACATTGTACATTGTACACAAAGTAGCACGTTAGGTTAGAGCAGTATATCAAACCGCAATTAAAATTGAAACCTAATGTTAAAATTAAAGATCTAGAAGAAGGCAGTTTTGTATAACTTGACGTACCATTGACTGTACTTATTTACTTGTACGGGAACTTTCTGATTACAATACGACAACACGTCAAACCAATCTAGTGAACAATGATTCTTGTATGTAATGTGTGCGAAAGAAATAGTAATAGACAATTTAATACGACTTAGGTAAAATTTAATAATAAATACCCGCGATATTTTGAGATTAAATAGTGAGGTGATGATATGCGAAAATGATATTGTTTGTAACAGTGAACTATTACAATTGCACTGTAAATATTTCTGTTGTACATTAATTTCATATTAATATACTTCTTACTGTAGTTATTTTTTTAGGTCGTTATATCTTTTTAGTTTTGTACCTAATGTGTGCTAACAGAATGTAATTAAAAATAGTAAACTAGGTATTAGAAAAGTATTGACTCAAAAGTTTTATTTAAAAAACAATAATGGTGCACATACTAAACTGAAAGCTAACTGTTTCGCACACCATCTATTTAATTTAGAACTGTGTGATGGCGTTAAGCATCTAAAATTTGCAATAATACTGAAAAACACATTTCACTGTCATTGGAACTAATTGTAAATTTCAATTCAACAGACAGAAAGGGGGTATAAATTTAGTAGAAATAAAATACCGTACAGTTTCCAAAACAAACCCTGCATATTCGTAATCCACAACCCGCCCTGCCAGTCCTCAGACCCTCAAGTACAGATTTTTTTTTATTGTTTCACGACAAAGTGACTGTAATATCCTTGGTGGAAAGTGATATTACAGTCTAATAATAGTCGCAGCTGTCAGTAGCCGAAACTAATCCTGGTAGCCACCACCTATTAAAGAGCCTTTTCACACCTCTTGAAGCACCCAACGACATCGAGTATTGCTCGTACCGATCTTACTGGTATTCGACTGATGGATAGTTAAGCCGAGTCAAAATACAAGTATTATATTCAAAATCAGTTTATGGTACTAAACATTATATATGCTTATCAGATCATTCAGTAAAGGTCGAAGAGAACGGCTTGTGCGTTACAAATTAATTTCACTCATTAAATGCATACAATGACATTCAATTGAAGACTTACAGAGTGAGTATCAACTTAACTAAGGTACGAAAATTATAATGACTGTTTGAAATCCGTATAAAAGTATGTACACACTGGATATATAACAAATCATATTTTGATTTTCATAAGTAAAAAAAGTACTGCTGTACATTATTACATTTGGTATGTTAAAATGCATTATTTCCATAACATAGTGTACAGTAGATATTCTCTATTCCGAATTATGATTAATCTGATTCCGAACTGGTCTTAATCAGGGCCGGATTAAAGCCTGTAATTTTTAACACCCCTTTAGTCGACATTAAGTAAAACAAAATCGGAAGAACATTCAAAAGTGACTTCCATCAGCTACCCCGTTCAGGGTGGATAGATGAACACGCGTTTCCGAGTATCCACCTGTTTCAAAGTGGATAAACAGCCCAAAATCAGGGGGCCGGTAGCGTTTGCTACTTTTGTCATGTGGCTAATCCGGCACTGATCTTATTCTGTTGATAGTTAAGTTGAAAATTAATTGCAGAAAAAAAAGATATTAACTCTTATTGTTATCAGCCATTAAGTTCATAATTGCATGTGAAGTCATAAAGAGTTGCTTTAATTGCCAATGATCAATGGTATTATCAGAGGTGGCTGAAATGAATAAGATTATATCATTATACACTTTTTTATAGACATTGAAAATAAAAATAATTGTGTTAGATTAATGTATAACTCAGAATAGAGACTGTTACGTATCTATGACATCCATTTCGTTTTATATCTATTAATATATAAACATTTGCACGTATTTATACAGTGAACTTTGTCTATTTACATATAATACAACTTGTCTATGCACGGCCTAAGACTAGTTAGTCTAGTTATTACTTGGACATTTTAGGAATTGACAAAAGAACCAATGACCCTCCATTGACACGCTCTGACACAGAGCAGCAGTGCTATTGTGTTATAAAAATAGCCCACAACTCCCAGTTAGTCGTATTATACACCTTATAGTTACTAAAATAAGACTGATTATACATTCTAATCGAGTTTAGATGTATGAAAACATTGAATTATATGTGGCCTGCTCAATAGAAGATTCACGACGAGTCTGGATATACTGTGCCGTGTTCTACTTACTTATACTGCGGGTATGTTCCGATATACACTGCGAGCACTGCGCAGTGGTCTTACTGCTGAAAAATCCGTTCCGTTATGGACTACCAGTACACTGCTACAGTACCCTAGGGAAATTTATGACGTCATAAATTGCCGCCATATTTGTACTGTGAGCACTGGAGATTTCGAGGTAAGGTGCTCGCAGTGCTTT